ATGATGTGTTTGCAGGTATTCAAAGTGGGCAGCCAGTAAATTTTCCAGAGACATGTCTGGGATCCAAAAGGACTTGAAAAGGAAGAGGGGAAAAAAGAAATAAATTGGATGGTCATTATATGGGTATAAGTCTGACAGATTTCTGTAAACCCCCATAATGCACAGCATCAGAGGAAATGACAAGAAAAACAAGACGACTAACTACCGGTTGATTTCAAAATCACATTTTTGGTTTTCCCAAAGGAAAACCCGTCCCGTATCATCCAATAGAAATCTCTACACCAGCATCAATCTCACCTTCTTAAGTGACACTCCTTGAAGGTGCTCTGATGAAACTCAGTTGGCTGGCTTGGTGTGGCCTTAGCAGTAGACAACTGAAAATTTTCCAAACGGTCTTCAGAGCAGCAACAAACGAATACTTCGAGATGAATTTTTACTCACTGATCCTTTGCTTCCACTTCCACCGCACCGTAAAAGGGCTAGATGGGTGCATATAAAGATGCAGCGTGCAGTTTACTGGTTTCATGTTATTTTTTGCAGACATCTTGCGCAAACAGCAACCATGTGCCCTATGAACTTTTCTTTCAGTGCTGGAATTCCACATATTCAAAGTACAGGCCTGGGTAAGATAATACCACAAAACCGACCCACCAAAAAGTCCCTTTGACTGTATGCTGCTGAATGAGGAGTACCTATCTTTGAGGACGTGTCAGAAAATACAATACATCTACATTCAAACTGCCCTGAATTTGCATCTTGCCAAGACTGGCACTGTGATTAAAACACTGCAGTAAGAATAACGAGGATCATGCTTCTTCTGGCCCAAGTTTATCCCCAAATACATTTTGGGGGGAAATATGATTGAGCAGGCAACATTTTAAACATCCCTATTTGGCCATTCATAACAAATCTGAAGTAATTTCAAGTTGTAATTTGAAATTTTACATCCAAGTTTCAAGTTGGCAGCTCCTTTCCATGAAATGTGATTGGTTCAAAACTTTAAATCCACAAAGGGATAGCAGCATCAGTAGGAGGAACAGATAATTGAATTTCTTTCTCTACAATAGCTGTAGGCCGGTCATCATACTGCACAATGATTAACTACAGCAAATGTTTGAAAAGCTGAAAAGCTGTCTGGCCAACAAAAGCCTATTTCTGTTACTAATCTTTCTAATTTGATAAGGAAATGGACCTCACCCACCGCCTAAGCAGCTGTCTTGGCTAACAGTTGAGTTCAGGGCAAGCATGAAAAGGGGTTAATTTATCAAAAAAAAACATCTAATACCATGCTACATGAGATTACAGCAGTTTTGTTTGAAGTGTGTGGACGCGCGATTCAGGTTCAGTATAAAGAAAAGCACAGATATCTGTGAAACCGAACCCTACTGTTATGTACTGTAGTACATAGGCAGTGAGTACAAGAGATTTGTTTGGCAATATCTTTTTTGCCAAAAACATGTCTAAAGAAATTCAAAAACCATAAATCCTGTCCAGTTTTTATTAACAATGGGCCAGTTTAACGCAACATTTAGCAAAAGTGACTAAGTGTTGTTGGCTTACCTTATCTCCCACTTTGACACTCTTCCTCCCAGTTGGACCTTTAAGGCCCACCAGCAGACACTCTCAACCTCATGACATGTGAGCAACTGTTCATCCCAGTGAGGAGCTCAGTTTAGCAAGCCTGCTAAGTATGGTGGTTGAAAACAGTCCGGCTGGATTATGTTTTATTTATAGCTGCATTAACTAAGAGTTAGCACAAAATCAGATCAGTCAAGTAAAAAATTGTCTAGAAGTGTTTTCTCTCTGCTGTAGTAACCCCCACTCTGCTATCTTCAGGCCTTGTGTTTATTTCTTTCCCTCTGTGGCCAGTGTTGCTAAAATCCGCACCACACGTCTCCCATGCCCCCGCTGATTCAAGGTTATGAAATGCGTTTTTCAAATCAGTATGTCTCCTTTCAAAGACAGGACCACGGAGGTTCCCTGTGCAGGTACAACCCAGGTTGGGGGCAGGCCTGCCTGTGAGACCCAAGAGGCCGTGTTCCGTAGCTAGCTAACGTGTATATGTCTGCATCATCAGCAAGGTGACATTAGTATTTCAGTTTTGTACCTTTGAAATGAATTATTCTGGTTATAATTTGTCATTCCAACTGACTATAATGTCAGTGTTTTGTTGTCCAATTAGCAGAAACCAGTACATTCACCTGGATTAGCAAATGAAGTAATTTTACTCAATTTGCAAATTTTTGGTCCAGGCCACCTAGTTCATTTGTGTCAGACGTAAAACAGCAATCTATGTAGCATTTTAATCAGGCGCTGGTAAAATGTACGCCATCAACACAACTATAAAAAGCGGGGAGTTTGTAATGTTGAACACGATGCGATAGTGGCCAGAACATTAGTACTGTATCAATATTACTGGGAAACACACTCCTTTGTATAACATACTTGTGTTACTACTTTAAGTAGGGAAAAGGACCAGTGTCGCTGCAATGCCACTGAAAATCACAGGCTCCATGGGTTATGTTCAGTATGCGTTAATATTACTGCTGAGTCGCCAAAGTGCCCAGTCCGTCTCCGGCTGTAGTTACCTCATATGACAGTTTCACAGACAAGGCAGGAGGAGGAAACTGCTCAAGTTAGTTTTGACTCTCTAACAGTCGAGAGTTTGTGGGTGAAGGTTGGAGGGGCTTTAAGCTAATTTGTGGGCCATTTATTCAGCAAGTGGTCACCAGAGGATGTTTCCCCAATGTTCTGAATTTTTAACAAAACCTCTGATTATAAATTAGATTGACAAGTTATTTCAAGTTCTCATTCAATGTGTCATGAGTTTAGGATTCACACCCACTACATCTAAAAAGGCACAGAATTTTCTCACCAAGAAGTGATTTATCACTTACATATTTAAAAGTTTGTCATCCTTTGTTTTTGTTTTGCACGTGAATCTTCAGGAAAAATTTTATAATTTGATGTGAAATATTTTATACAATACTACTAACTTCAATAAACCTACACATTTTGGATAATGATCTTAAAATGAGAAGATTAATGGAATTACTTTTCTCTATACATACCACAGTAAAGTTTTTTGTAATCCCCACTTTATTTAAATAAATTATACTGCATTGTACAAGATTACTGTGGGAAGATGCAAATATTTTGAAAAGAAAATGGAACACAGAAGGAATAAGCATCACTAAATTTAATGCCCATCAGCAGCGGAGTTTAACTGAATTGTGAAACGTGGATAAAACCGCCAAATTGCTTAGTTGGTGACTGAAACAACCCTTATGATACAAAGAAGATGCCAGTGATATGCTGACAACTCCTAATACAGAGTAAACAATTTGATGTTCATTCAAGACAGAAACAAAAATTTCACTTTTCATAAAACTGTTTAATCAAACACTCCAAAATACTCCAAATTATGCCACATCTGCTGCACACACCTTGATCAGGAATGTCTTCCAAAAGCCCAAATTATGAGCAGTAACTTACGACATGTCATCATTAAAAGTTGTCTGACCTCTTTGAGAATGCTCACATTACAAGGTCAGTCTAAGTCAAAACTGCACAGTAAGAGCCAAGTGCTCCTACACTCAAACATTAAGTCATTTTGAGTAGCCATGGGCAACAATTAATAATTTACTGTGTTCCTCCATAGGGTTAGGTGAACGAATGAATACATTCTTGATTTGATGAATACTTATACTGCCAAACTAAGCACCTCTCCAAAAACAATTTGTATACCACTGCATGACTTGTCAAGCAATCACACATGGGTATATGTTGTATTTAAAGGTGCAGTGTGTGAGATTTAGTGACATCTAGCAGTGAGGCTGCAAACTGCAACATTCAGCAAAGCTTTCATACAGCTGTATCACAGTGATTACCATAAAGTTGCACAATCAGAATACAGGTGCAGCTGACTTGACCAAGCAAAAGCTAATAGCAGCTCACTTGCCTGCAGTGGGTTTCCCAGCACTGGCCATGTTCTAGCAAAAGCTAGAAAACAGAAACCTGCATTTAGGTTAACTTTACTTGTTAGGCTAAATTAACTGTCCAGCAGAAAACAGGCAACTCTGGCATCATTATGGAAACATTTGTCCCTCAATGAACAAATCCATACCAATGTTTATCATTGTCTTGTGCCATTGCCTATCCTGTTTGTGTCGTTGCTTCTTTGACAATGGGATTCATGCAGTCTACTTTTTTCTTGTGTTAAAGTATAACTATGATATTCTAATTCATCAAATTATAGATCTTAATTCAGGACAATGCTTCCTCTTGTTTCTAGTGTTATTTCTTCATCGTCTTCCAAGCAGCTACATCAACGTGAAAAGATGAACTTCAAGCTCTAAAGCCAGTGTGTGGTTTGCCCGCTCTGGGATACCGTTTATTTAAAAAGAAAAAAAAAAAAAAAAAAAAAAACCCTGAAATTTGTCCTCTAGGCCGTGCCTATATTCCACCCAGCCTATATATAAACTGTGTGTCTCAGCTAAATAAAATGCAATAATTCTTATTACTATACTATAGCTCATTTCTGCTAATAAATCCCTCTAGATCTTACATACTGCACCTTTAAAATATTTGTCATTCACAGCTATACTTCAGTTGTGTCAAACATTTATGCATACGCATACATGCGTCCTTTCCTTTTTGACACGAGGCCAGCAGATGCTGCTGACTGATGCACACATCACTAGATCTTAAAGTTCAATTGTGTATGCCCTAATCTCTAATATTTCTGATTTGATTTTGAAGATTTAGTCATCAATTTGGGCAAGTCCTTTAAATGTAAAAGTGAAGTGATTTGAATTTGGAAGAGAAAGTGGGGTGGTGGGTTAGATAAGCTTCACCAATCATAAGCAACAGTAATTTATTTTCCTTACTGCCCCCACAAGAACGATTGTGAGGCAAGCTTCCGAAGTTAAATCATTAAACCAACAAAATAAGAACACCTGAAATAAAAAGGTGGTATTTAAAGTTTGTATTAGCATTACCTGAATGTGAGCAGTCACCGTTCCTTCTGCTGGTACACTTTCCAACACTCCATTTAGAGCTGCCTGCTTATTGAGGTCCTTAGCATTATTCCACTCTGTCCACAAAAGAAAACACAATAATGACATAAGAAAAATCACTTGCAGCAGGTGAATACTGGCAAAGTTAAAGGAACAGATAAGCATTTACCTGGATTTAGTGTGTCCATGTCTAGCATACCCCCTTCCCGATAGCTCTCCAACTCCTCAAATTTGACTTTGCTCCAGGGAATGTAGGAAACTCCCCGCTCCACATCCCAGAACTTTTTATGCACCGGTTTTATCCCTTTGTTCAAAGCCCAAGCAATCTAGGCAAGAATGACATTACATATATATTCAATATGTTATCAAACACCATTACAAAAGTTACACAAAAGCAATATATCTGGAAATAAACACCATTTGTGCAAAAGAACATATACCTTTACTGGTTTCTGATTGACTTTGTATGACCCCTTACTGAGCTTGTTCAAAGCCGTATAGGCATCTTGTCTGTGAACCATTACAATATAGGCACAACCCCTTGGAGGAATCATCTGGATAGAGCAAAAGGAAGCAGTGAAATGCAGGCTAACCGGCTTTAGAGCATAAAAGCTTACAAGTATCTTTGATGTGCACTGTTCAAACTTACATTGATGGACTCAATCTGTCCAAACTCTTCCAAAAGGGACATCACATCAGACTGCTGAGTTTTCTTGTCTAGCTGTCCAACCCATAGCGTAGTGCTGCAAACTACAAGCAAGAAGTTTAAAAAAAACCATCATGGATGAAGGATGGACTTAAGGTTGTTTTCATTTTAAACAGGAATGCTTCATGCTTATCTTACACTGCAAGTTGTTTTGGATAGAGTTTACTTTGAAATTTCCAGCTCAATTTTAACAGTTAATCATTGTCCCTAATAAACCAGACAGCATGAAATATTTGTCAAATGTAGTTGCCAGGCTCATTTTAATTTATGTTTCATAATTTACTTTGTTTAGAAACATGAGCCAGTAGTTCTGAGTGAATTCCGTGTTATATAAACCTACTGTATGTTTGTCTTTGTATGAATTTATGACGGCTCATCCCTGTTGTTCATTGTGGTCATTTAGAGGTCCCTTCCTAACTCACTTCCAATGTAAGTGACGGAGGACAAAATCCAGTCCTTGTTTTGTTTAAAAATGTATTCCAAAGTATGTCTGAAACTACTATGATACCTGAGCAGTTTGAATTAAACAAATCAAGCGGCATTTGTCAAAGTTAGTCTTTTTCTTTTAAGTACAATTGATTTGTCCCCGATTATACCCATCTACCTCTGGGAATCTGTTGGTAGGCCTGGTCAAGAGAGGTTCTAAAAACACTTGACTGGGCCATTGTGAGAACACACTTTAGAATAGAAATGTGTGTGCAAAGAGTCAATCTCACCTTTTAAACATGCACTTGAAAATGCTCTAACTTGATGTCATGCATGAAAAATAACCAGAGCTCTTTTTCCATAAAACTTGACTTAAGTGTCAAGTCACTACATAGTAACGTTTATATAACCAATAATGACATTAGCAGACAGTATTTAACATGACTTCAAAAATATCCATCCATTTTCCTCCACTTATCCAAAACCGGGTCACGGGGGGGACTTCAAAAACAATGCCGATATAAATCTGTTGTATTTGTTTCTGTACAAACCGTGACAAAAACTTCATTACGCTAATATATTATTATAGAAAATATAATTAGTACTTTTGAAATCAAAGGGGCTCCTGTCTACAGGGCTGGACAAGACAGATGTTGCAAACTGCATATAATAGTGATTTAAGCTGTTCTGTGTAATATACATACAAGTGATATACACAGGTTTGTTTCTGTTGAGGCACATACCACTGAGTGTCTGGCTCTTTATGCTGGGAAGACCTTTCTGTCTGCGCTCTCTGTCCTTCTCTCTTTCACTCCTGTCCTGAGAACGAGAGCGAGATCTCCAGCGCCGTTCTCTAGAGTGAGAACGTCGAAGCCTTGACCTTCTTGAATGGGATGAAGATCTTGATCTTCTTCTCCTGGGAGATCTGAAGTGCAGAAGTTCAAGCTGAACATGGCATCACCACTTTTTTTTTTTTTTTCCCCACCATTTGATAAATAGGAAACAAAGTGAATAGAGATCTGGGAGTACACAACAGCAGCCGAGTGTGTCAGTGCCTGTCCTGCATGAACTGTTCTGTTGTCAGATGTGTAATTTATTCTTTAGAATGTAATGACTACTACAGTAAGTTATCAGGTTACAATATTTCTTCACTCACTGTAACATAAACAGCAAAATAGCCATTAGCAAGTGTAATGTGCTACCTCAAATAAAACCTGGGATAAACTGTATGGGAAAACATTTAACTGAAATCCACAGCACTACACAGTTATCTGTGATGACTACAGCTTCGTACCTGGAACCAGATTTTGATCTTGATCTTCTGACATAACCTCCGTGTCTGTCCTCCCATCTCATAGCCAAGTCTTCTCTTGAATTCATCTATTACAACATGGCAGTTTTGTTTCTCAAATTAATAAGCATGAGGTTCCAAATTTCAATTTCTACAGTTAATACATTATGGGCAAAAAAAAATTCCTGTGTGGCAAAACATGCAACTGTACCAACAGGAACTAGCTTACGGATAAAGGTTGATATACTAATGCAAATGCAGTGACACTTAAATCACAGAAAAGGCATTTTTGCCAAGATAAAATTAAACTGGGTCTAAAGGTTTACCTGTAAATGTAAATAAGTCTCATTTATGGAGTGGTATCCACCTGGCATCATAAGATGGTCAACAAGACTCCTTCCACCACCGTGCTGAGGGATGACAAAGAGACAGCCACAGGAGAGGATTAAAAAAAAACTGACACCATAGGGACTCTGACCACAGCACATCTTAATTGAAGTTTGCAGCTCCACACAGTTGATCCTTTACATAATCAAAACATTCAAATTGAAGCATTCAGCATTTTAACTATATTTTGACACCTCACTGGATAAAACATGAAAAGAGCAACTTATGTTGCTTCAAACAGTAATATATTAGAGAGTGATTATATTTGAGAGTTAGTTGAGTTGTGATATAATGGAGTTATGATTGGATACCTCTACACCCCCAGTTTGCCCCATCATATATGGCTCGACATCCTCTGTGCCGGGCATCAGACCAGGAAACTGGTTAAACACATTTTCAGGAATGTTTCTGTCATGACAAAATATGCAAGAAAAGCAGCATGATTAACAAACAAGAAAACCACTGCATTCATTTTAGGATTCCAGTTCTTGGTGTTGTGAATGCTGGTTCAGTCTTGGGGTTTACTAGGTCATATACAGTAATCAATAATATGCTTAGTTTCACCTGTGCTGCGACAGTCAATATCAGTGACACGGGCCTATTGCCACTAACTGATGTGTTCACTAGTTTAATCAACATTATGTATAACTGCACAACAGTACATAACTAGGAAAAAAAGGGTCCACTCTAGTGTACTTGGCACAAAATGTATAAAGTATAACATTTGAGGTACCATTAGTTAATTCCTCTTTAAGACCCCTTCCATTCTTTCAAGCATGTAAAGACAGTTGATATGTCAACACACATAATTTTACACATATCCAACAAATGCTAATCCAATATCAATGTGCTTATACCTAGTACATGCTTGAATGGAGTAGGAAGAAGTCAGACTTATCCAGTCCTACCCCATGACATCATCTTACCATCATTGGTTTGCAAGCAGTAAATGATTCACTTCTACCCACACACATATTATACTAAAAAA